AGGCCCTTGTGTCCCAGCCCACCCCACACTGGCCGTGTCTCTTCCTGGAACAGCATGACCGTCAGCTGCCCGGGCCCCAGCATCAGGCTCCGTGGGCCCAGACCGGAACACTGCATGACTCTCCCTTCCTTCTGGGCATCACGGCTCCACCTGGGCCCCGGGACGGGTGCCGGTGGCCTCACATGTGCCTTGTCTCCCCCGTGATCACAAAAGCGCCTCTCCTTTCTGGGCTCGGATTTCTGCTGAACCTCGTCTTCCTGCCGTGTCCCAAAGCCCTGCTCACCCTCCCTCGGGCTGCTCGGGGACCCGGCCTGTCAGGAAAGCGTCCCACTCTGGGTGTCTCTGACCCCCACCTCCAGACAGCTCCCGAGGGTGACCCCCGTCCCTGGGAGAGAGGCCCCCTCTTGCCAGACGTACCCTGGATGATGCGAGGGCTGGTAGCCTTGGGGGGGTGGGTCCGAGTCGGGGGGGGGGGATTCTCCCCCGTCAGGTGATCCCGTTCCAGGGGGGGCGATGTCACCTCCTGAGGGGCAGTGTCTGCCATCAGCGGGGAGGTTCATTCAAGGAGCCCCCCCCTCGACACTGACGGTAACGATGATGACTGTGAGGGAGCCGAGCCCATCAGCCAGGCCCCGCACCCCTGCAGGCTCCGCCGGGGCTCCTTGGCAGGATGGCCGAGGGGGAGGGCGATGCTCTGTGACATCTGTCACCCCTCCGACCTTGGGCTGCTGTGCGCTATGTTCAGGAAGGGAGGAGGGGGAGGGAGGACGAGGAGGCTTCTGAGGCCGGGCACCTGCTTTGGTGGGTAGGAGGAGGAGTAAAAGGCCCATTTTTGGGGAGCAGGAGGGAGTCTGAAGGAGGAGGTGATGGGTCGGGATGAAGCAAATGTCTTCCTGCTGACTGCAGGCAGGGAGACTGAGGGGCTTGGTACCTGCCTGAGCAGGCCCTGGGGGTGGGGGGGGGTGGGGCGCGGGTGAGGCCGAAGGGAAGAGGGCCCTTGGGGCTGAGCCAGGCGGGACAAGGCCTCCCGACTCTGCCGCTCTCGCTGTCCTCATGGGACACCTGTCCCTATCCCAGACAGGGGTCCCAAGGGGCCGTGGCTATTCAATCAGTGGATAACCAGTCCTGCCTCCAGGAGGCGGGGGACTTGTGGGAAAATGGAAGGAAGAAAGCCCAAGGGGCTTCGGGGAGGAGGGTCCAGGCTACGTGCACAGCCCCGAGCCCCAGGCTACCCTGCGGTGGCCAGAGAAAGTTCCACGGGGAACCTCTCGCAGCCTTTTGGCCAACCCTGGCGGTGGAGGTCTCTGGGCAAGGCACCCCTGGTCTCAGAGAGGCCGAGGGACTTGGCCCAGGCCACACAGCTCGTAAGCAATGAAATCAGCGTCCTTTGCCCCAGTATTAGGAAGTAAGAAGTGCTCTCCGGGAACCCCCAGCTCCTCGGGACAGCCTGATTCAGGGGAAGGGTCAGGAAGTGCGGGCAGGACAAATACACGAAGAACAGACAGAACAGGACGAATGTGATCTGCAGCACCAGGGCCTTCTGCACCTGCCACCCACGGGACGGGGCCCCTCTCTCCTGAACGGCCTCTAAAGCCTCCCACGTCGCAAGGGTCCGGGACAGTGGGGGAGTGTGTGGAAGGCAAGCAGGTGGCCCCAGGGGGCCCTCACCCTCCGGCCAGGGCAGGTAAGGCGTCACCCCCAGAGGAGGCACAAGGCTGCTGGCGAGGGGGCTTAACAACCCAGACGGGTGTCAGCAGGGCCCCGCCAAAGACCGGCCTCCCTGGCCTCGGCCTCCTCCCGCAGCCCGGGAGGCCGCCTCTTCGGACTCGGGAAAAATTCACAAAGTGCAGGGGACTTCAACGCAGCGAACTGGCAGTGACATCTACTAATGGACGGGTCCTGCCCAGCACCGAACGGCCCAGGGAAGGGCAGAGTGGCCACCCCCACGCTGGAGTCTCTCCTTGCCAGAGGGCCCACACCCCACATGGAGTCCTCGAGCCCAAGATGCCTTCTCCTCCATCCTGGAGTCTTGTCTGGACTGGGGTGGTGGGGAGCAGGGAAGGAGTGGGGGTCCCCACAAGCAGCACCCACTCCAGGCAGGGCTGGAGGTCCTGACCAGCACACCTAGGACAGCTGGCCAGTGAGAATGCTCCCCAGATGGTCTCCAGATCGCTTCCAGCTGGGGCATATAGAGTGGCCAAAGAATCTGTCCTAGGGAGTGGGGGCGTAGAAGGGGAAACTGAGGCAGGATGAGACCCAGCTTTAGTAGCCCCGAGCTAAGTGGGCCAGGATCCTGACTCCCTTCTGGAAAGGACTGAGGGACCAGGAGGAAACTGGTACCTACTGACCAGCCCCGAGCCAGCTCCCCATCGCACACCTGCCCTTGGCCCCGAAGGGGGGTTCAGAGCAAGTCTCCCCAGAATGTGCCCCTCTGCGGGCTGGCTATTTGAGGTGAAGGCCATGAAGGCGTAGCTGACTCAAGAGACACTTGTGCCCTTCCTTTAACGTTCTAGAATGAACATCGTCCTGCCCAGAATGAAGAGTTGTGACCAGAGAGAGATTCTATGCGAGTGGCCCGCCTGTGTGGCCGGGCAAACATCTTACCCAACACCATCACCATTTCTTAGCGCCAGATGGCAAAAGTCTCACCCAACCTCTTTGAACCTCTCGTGTGTGGGGTTCCGGGAGGTACGAGATTAAGTTCGATGTGTTCCTGTTAGTCTGTCTCGTGTCAGTGTCGTTCGTAGAGCGGCCGGAAGGAACTTGGAAGGGTGGACATTTTCCTCCCCACAGCCCTCCGTCCACCTTAACCAGGGAGGCTGGTCTCCTGCCCCGGGTACTTAAGGGAAGGTCCGCCCGACGCAGCGCCCGGTCTATGCCTGCTCGGGGAAGGGCCACACAAGGGGCCGCCAGGGTGGGGTCCGGAGGACCTTCAATCGCCCAAGTTAGAGACAGACGACGGGAAACCTTGGCACAGGGAGGGCCAGCACCTGCCCTGAGGTCACACAGTGACCCAGCTGGGTTCTCCGATGGGTGACCCCGAGGCAGGGGTGGCCCGCCCGGGTCTGGGTCCCAGGCAGAGTGTGCTCCGGGGAGAGGGCGACGGCGCCGAGGCGCCCTCCGGTGGCCGCCGCGCGCGGAAGCCGGCCGCCGGAGTCCCCCGGCCGGCAGCCGGACGGGGGCGACAGCGGCCGGGGACCGCCTCGCGTTCGCGTTTCCTTTTTAAAAGAAGCACGTCGGCGCCGAAAGCGAATTTCTGTAAAATCGAGGAGATCGCTAGGGCCCCGCGGTCTGCAAAGCCCCCGCCGCCCAGCCGGCGCGGAAGAGCGAGAGCGGGGAGCGGCGGCGAGCGGCCCCCTCGCCTATTGTTGTGGCCGCGCGGGGCCCACCCCGGGGGGCGGGGCGCCGGCCCGTGACGTCATGCCCCGCCCACCGGCCCGCACCGCCTTTGTCCGCCGCCGCGCGACTCCTCCCCTGCGGGCGCCGTCCGCCGCGGATCCCCAGCGCGGCCGGGCCCCGAGCTCCGGAACAGGCCCCGGGCCCCTCCGCGTCCTAAGAACCGCCTTCCTTTGCGGACGCAGCGGGAGGCGCCCGGGCCTGCGTTCTGCTCCTCGTTGCTGCCGGGCGGGGGCGGGGGCGGGGGCGGGGGCGGGCCCTCCGGCGGGACGAGCCGGGAGTCACCGCGGGGCACTGCAAGCACCGCCCCGGGACCCGCACGCGTGGTGGCGGGGGTGGCCGAGCGCAGAGGACTGGAAGGGGGGTGGGGGTGGAGGCCGGGGCCTGAACCTGGCAGGTGCCCGGGGCCTTTTGGGAGGGGTGGGGGGGAACCGCTTGGAGGAGCAGAGGCTGCAGGTTGGCCAGGTATTGGGGGAATGGGGGGGGGGGGAATAAGGCCGAGGGTCCCACAGGGTTGAAAGGGCACCTGTGAGGTGGCCCTCGGGGCGGAGCGGGGCCGAGCCTGGGTGAAAGGGTACTAAGCTCACGGCTCGTAGAAGTGGCAGCTTACTGCGGACCTAGGGACAGCACGGCAGCAGCCAACGTGGGCCAGGCGGCTCGGGGAAGGGCCACACAAGGGGCCGCCAGGGTGGGGTCCGGGCTCCTTCCTGCGACGTGCTGAGGGCGACCACGGTCGGTCCTGTCGGGATGAGGCTCCCAAGTGACAGCTCACCAAGCCTCTTAGGTCCTCAACTACTTTGAAAACCCGGCCATATCGCCTCCTGTGGTTGTGGAAACTGCCTTCATAAGGTCACCCCCCCCCCCCCCCCCCGCAACACCTGGGTCCTGACCCTTCTTGCTAGGCCGCAGCCCCTCGCTCCGCAGACTACAGGTCGCTGCTCCGATCAGGTGTCCTTCACACCTGTGGCACTTGGAAGGAACCCCTGAAAGGTGCCTGGGCCCCACAGGGAGGTGGCCGGCAATCACGACCAACCCTGGCGACCTTCAGCAGAAGAGTTATTGGTCGGGGGACGGGTGGCACATGTCCCTGCATCTCCGCCTCGCTGGCTCCAGGGGGAGCTCTCGGTGCGCCCCCTGGGTCTGGGTTCTGCGCCCCGGCTCCCCACAGGGGGAGAAAGGGTAGCTGGACCCTGTCACCCCTGGCGACTCACACGAGGGGGATCCCTCCCCATAGGAAGCTGGTGTGGACGCTGGAACCCCCCCCCCCCCCCCCCTTAATTGGTGCAGCAAGACACAGGCCTCAGAGCCCCGTGCTGGGCGTGAGATGTAGGAAGGCGCTAGCATCCCAGGCTGAGGGCATCCCGAGGGGAGAGGAGAGGGCCACTGGGGGCCTGGTAGCCCAGGAAGGGGCGGAGTCAGAGGACGGCAACACGTTTTTGTTTTTGTCTTAGAAACTTTAAAAAAAATGTACAGAAAGAGTATATAAGAGGAAAGCCTCCCTGCCCCACCCCGCCCCCCACCCCCACCCCCCACCGCCACCCGCAGGGGCCCGTGTACTGACCAGCCGCCCCCACCCCCCATTTTCAAAATTCTAAGAGGCCAGGTTTGGGTTTGTCTCTTTTAGTGCCCACAAGCAGACTCCGGCAGGAGGGTGGCTGGACTGTGGATTTGGGACCCACAGGCCGGTGGCGTTGTGTGTGACAGGGAAGTGGCTGGTTTTCCTCCCTGCCATGAATTCCTTTCCCTTTTGTTAGTTTGGGAAACTCTCTCCTATTCTGAAGGATAGCCTTGCCGGCCAGTGTTCTTGGCTGAAGACTTTTGCCTCTTAGCACCTGAATATATCATGCTGCTCCCTTCTAATCTCTGAAGTTTCTGCTGAAAAATCCGGATAGCCTTAAGGGATTTTCCTTGGATGCAACTGCTTTCTCTCCTCTTGATGCTTTTAAAATTCTCTCTTTATCCTTAGGTTTTGCCATTTTATTTACTGGCTGGCCTGGTATGGAACTCTACGGGTTGGTTTTTTGGGGGGCTCTCTGCGCCTCCTGGGTCTGGGTTTCTGTTTCCTTCTCCAGATTCAGGGAGTTTTCAGCTTTTATCTCCTCAAATAAATGTTCTGCCTCCTTTTCTCTCTCTTCTCCTGCTGCAACCCCTGTAACTCGACTGTTACGCTTGATGGTGTCACGGAGTTCCCTAGGTCTGTTCTCATCTTGCACAACTTTTCTCGCTCTCACTGGCTCAGCTTGGTGACTTTCCACTACTTTGTCCGGGCTGCTGCTCTGCCCTTGTCCGGTCTCTTCTTTCTTATTTTTTCCAGATGGTCTCTTGTTCGTTTCTTTTAGTGAGTTGATCATCTCTTCCCGGTCCTTTTTTAGGTGTTTTAGGTCTTTCTGGATGTTCTCCAGGCTTTCCTCGACTGTAGCCAACATCTTTAGGAGGGTTACTCTAAATTCTAGATCAGTTACAGAACACGTCTCCGTTTTGGTTACGTCTCTCGCTGTGGTCTTGTTCTGTTCTTTCATCTGGGACCTATTCCTCCGTCTCCTCATTTTGTCTACTGCTGCGTCTGTGTCTCTGTTAGCAAAGTCAGCTGCGTCTCCCGCACTTAAAGCAGTGGCCTTAGGAAGACGAGGTCCTGTAGTGCCCCGCGGTGCAGTGTCCCCTGTTAACGGGAAGATGGCGCTTCAGGGGCGTCCCTGTGTGCGTTGCTACGGTAGCAGTTGCTACTGCAGTGGCTGAACTGCGCTCGCCTTCCGTGCAGTGGCTCTACCTGTTGTGGGCAGGATCGGGTCCCTGTGCGGTTAGTGGGTCGGTCTGGGGCGCACTGGATCAGACCCGGAGTTTGCTAGAGATCCGGTAGCTCCACACTGCAGGGCACTTCCCCTGCGCTGTCGGGGGGGAAAGTTTATTGGTGGGCAGGCCGCAGTCACACTGGTGTGTACCTTATCTTCCCCTCTCCCTGGGGCAGGACTCACTGTGGAGTGGTGTGGCCCGTCTGGGCTGCTCGCACACTGCCAGGCTTGTGGTGCTCCTTCGATGGGATCTGGCCACGAACCGACCGAGCGGATCCCAGGGGGTGGATCTGCACAGGGGCGGGAGGGACAGGTTTAGCTCGCTTTGCCCACGGCGGTCCCCTGCGGGAGGGGCCCTGCAGCACCGGGAGGGCAGACCCGGCGGAGGGATGGATCCCCAGAAGCACAGCGTTGGGGGATTGCGCGGTGCAAGTTCGGTGGCGGGAACTGGTTCCCTTTGGAATTTCCGCTGGGGGATGGGAGAGGGAAATGGCGCCCGCCAGCTCCTTTGTTCCCCCGCCAAGGTCTGTCCTCCCAGGCTCAACAACTCCCTCCCGTAGGCCCCAGGCGCTTTTCAAACTGTGGTTCCGGCCGGTATCCCCGCGGCCCTTTGTCCCGCAGTCTTTGTAGAGGGAGGACTTGGCGTCCACTCGCCCTCCCCCCTCCCCGCTCTCCGAGAGCAGAGATGCTGACTTTTAAAATTCCAGAGGTTGAGTCCCGCTGGCTGTCAGAACCCACGCAGTCCGGCCCCTCCGCTTTCGCCGGCCAGACTCCGGGGGCTCTGCCTTGCCGGGCGGGCTGCCCCTCCGCGCGCGCCGCTCCCTCCCGCCAGTCCGTGCAGCGCGCACCGGCTCTCCGGCCTTCCTACCCTCTTCCGTGGGCCTCTCGTCTACGCTTGGCTCCGGAGAGTCCGTTCTGCTAGTCTTCTGGCGGTTTTCTGGGTTACTTAGGCCGATGTGGGTGGAATCTAAGCGATCAGCGGGACCAGGTGAGCCGAGCGTCCTCCTGCGCCACCCTCTTCCCAGCGTGTGCGCTTCCCGCCTCCAGGCTTCCCAAGTCTGCGCCTCCCGCTTCCCAGCGGGCAGTGCGGGGCTGCTCCGGCATGGCCACTAGAGGGCGCCAACGCCAGGAACATGAGGCCCCCGGGGGACGGGGGGGAGGGGCGGGCTCGTGATTCACTGCACTTCCGGGAGCACCAGCGGGGGCCCACAGGAGCGACGGCGGGGTCCGCGCGTCCCGTGACCTGCCCCTGCAAGGGAAGCTGGCGGGGGTTCTCTCCGCTGGGCACCGTGGTTCGGGATGGCTCTGGATGGCCGCACCCGGGGGGCCTGCCATCAGGTAGAGGAAGGAGACGCTGGACGGACCACAGTAGGCGTTCTGGGCCCTGCTCTAGTGGGTCGGTTCCCAAACAGGGTGACGTGAGGGAGACGCGCGGGAGCCCCCAGCCTGCAGCCAGGGGAGGGAGGAGGTGATCCTTGTCCCCTTTATCCAGGAAAGCAGTAGGATTCCTGTCCCATCCCCAACCTCCCTGTCTCCAAGTTCAGCGCCCCCAGCCAGGTCACCCACCCGCAGCAGGGCCACGTCTCCCCCTCCTCCCCGCGCCCACCCGGGGACTGGCACTCCTGCCTGCCTTTGTTAAAGACACGAATTTGCAGGGGCACTCGTGAGGCCCAGGTGGTTGAGCCTGGGACTTCGGCTCAGGTCGGATCTTTCTGTTAGTGAGTTCGAGTCCCGCATCAGGCTCTCTGCGGTCAGTACAGACCCTGCTTCGCATCCTGTCCCCCTCCCTGCCCCTCCGCAGTTCACGTGCGCGCGCTCGCTCTCAAAAATGAATAAGCATTAAGAAAACATTAGCCCCCAGCCCCAGTTCCCGCACACTGTAGGTGCTGGAGGGGGGTTGTGGAGGAGAACAGAGTCCAGGCTGATTCGAATCCCCTCCCCAGAGTCTTCTGGCTGCGAGACAAGCTGTGGCCCAGAGGATTTCCCAAGGATGGGTGAGCACCCCCACCCCGGGGTGACCTTGCACACTTGTGCAATGGGGTGTGTGTGTGTGTGTGTGTGTGTGTGTGTGTGTGCGCGCGCGCGCTCCGTTTCCTCCCCTCGGATCTGGGGAGCCTGGGACGACTACTGAAGCCACGTTCGAAGATAGTAGTCCACGCACTGGCACTGGATGCTCTCTCCAGGGACATCTCACCCACCCTCCACGCTTGAGCGCCACGGAGAAGTCCACCTACCCCGAAGATGTTGGGCAGCGGGACCGCAGGGAACCAGACACGCCGAGGCCTCGCTGTCCTAGTCTTAGTGGTGGAGTCACGGCAGCCTGAGCCAGAGGCAGCAGTGAGCCTTCTGGTGGCCGCACCCAGAGGTGACAGAGATGGGCACTGATGGGCTGGCCCGACCCGAGCTGCAGATTCGCTACCGACATAGGTAGTTTTAGGTCACTCCATCCTGGCTTGGTGGGTCTCACAGCATCAGACACTGAAACACAACCCCAAAGCTGGGGATGACCGACCGTCCCCATTCGCTTGGGCCTGAACGGTTTGCTAAAACTGAGAGAGCCCCGGGACTGCGGAGGGGGGTGAAGCAGTGACTCCCAACTTGGTGTGTCCCTGCCCAAAAGGCTGCCAGATGGCAGGGCCCTTGCTGGCTCGATGCCCCAGTGTCACGGGCATCCACACCGCGAGGGCAGGTGCTCAAGGCTATTTGCTGTGACTTGTCACTGAATGTTGTAGAGTCCCCGCTCCAAAATGCTCCCGAGCCCCAACAATGCATTTGTGTGGCCTGGTGACCTCCCTGTCCCCGACAGCATCTAGTGTCAAGCTGAGATGATCCGGTGTCCCGCTCAACGACAGACTCAGCCACCTTCCCCAGCACAGTCCGGGGCGTCGGCCCCATCGCCTGCTCTGGGGGTGGGGGTGGGGAACGACACTCCTTGTAGGGACACCACCCACTCCTTACTAGGGTTTGAAGGTGGCCTGACGGTACCGGCAGGAGCTGGTGGTTGCTGGAGGTGGGAGACGGATGGTCCTGGGCGCAGAGCAGGTGGGTGAAAGCGGAGAAGGCCCCCGCATCCAAATCTGGCTCATCAGGTTTCCAGAGGGTAACTGTGTCTCCAAACTGGGCGCCTCCCACTTACTGACCGCCAAGGGCGTTTACACACAAATCTCTCCGCGCCAGCTAAGAGGGCCAAGCAGGATCTCCCATTTCCTGGATTACAAAGGCGGACGCCCCTAAACCGGCCTCCCCTGGTCCCCGGGAACCCCAGCCTGAGAGACCCGCGGCCCAGGAACCGGCACAGCGCCAGCAGGACACTGGGGGCCAGCGGAGCAATGATCTTCAAGAAGCAAGCAGTCACTGGGGTCAGATACCGTAAAGCAGCTGGGCACAGAGGTAGCGATAGCTTTACCCACAGATCGTTGGTGACCTTCGAGGGGGGGGGGGGCACAAGCCAGCCTCTTGTGGAGACCGCAGAGGCCAGGACTCCTTCCGCAGTGTGCGGTGAGGGGAGAACGGGGGCTCAGGGATCTCGAGCTTTCTTCCTCTATGACGACCGTGAACCTGCTTCCGGGCTAACGAGGAGCGCGGCCAGGTGGGGGCGGCGGGGACAAGGTCAGCAGAGGTGGGGGGGGTGTGTGTGTGTGCAACAAACAGGCTCCAGGCTTGCGTCTCTTTGCCCGTCCTGCAAACCTTCCATGAGCCGGCAGCCTCGTCCCCACTTTGTTGGTGGCGCGGCGCCCCGAGTGGCGCTCTTACCAATGAACCACAGTCACGGGCCTGTATTTACAGGAAAATGGTAAATCCACTGGAGCACACATATCGAGGCCCACAGGATGAGAAGACCAGGGTTCCCGTGTGAAATGGTAGCTTCAAATCTAGTTTGGGTTCTGCCACAAATGACACGTTTGAGGGAGGTGTGGGGTAGCTGGAAGGGGGTGGGACAGGCCGCTGGGGACTGTGACAAGTCTGGACTTGGCTTCCGCTCATTTTTCCTTTAAATGTGTCTCCAGAACCTGGGGCTGTTTCTGGCCAGGGTGGAGGACGGAGAGCTCTGTGGTAGGGGTACCAGCACGAATGGACCCCCGCGCCCGGAGGCTCCTCACCTCCTCTCCTGTCCTTGGAATGGGGCCCCGGGAGCCCTCTCCGGGAAGCTGCCCCAAGGACGGACGGCCTTGAGATAGAGATGTGGCGCCGGGACCATCTGGAGGGTATGGGTGACCGAACCCCGTTGCGGCCACTCTGTGAACTGTTAGGACGTGGCGGGCAGGTGCGGGGGTCCAGCATCCTGCAGCCTCGTAGGTCAGTTCCTTGTGTTCACTGCACCTGCCCCCTGCCCACCTGGAGCGGCCTCTTTCCTCCGTCCCTCCCTGTCCTCCGTGTCTGGGGGCCAGACTCAGATCACGGCTGGGAGCCAGCACTGCGAACCAGCCCCCAGGAGGGAAGATCGGTCACGGGCATCTCAGACGTCAGTCGTCTGGTCCGACCCTCCTACTTCACGGGCAAGGAACCCAAGTGTGGCCCAGGGAAGCCTACCGTCCCGTCAGCCTCAGAGTTGCTGGCCGTGCGCACCCGTCACGCTGGGTGACGGGTGGGAGCGGCCGTCCCGGGAAGACGGGGAAACTGAGGAAAAGACACACGCAGCCCGTTCGGACGCTAGCAACTAGCACATGGGGCCAGAAAGTACTCCCGAGACTCCAGCACACCACTTTTAGGCCAGGAGAAACAAAAACCCTTTCATCGTACGTGATCGCCCAGGACTGGCTGGCTGTCCGCGTGCTCTGTGCCGGCTTCCCCCGCGACTCCACGGACAGCCCCTCGGCCAGGGACAACACTCACAGAATAGTGGTAAATGGGACGTGAATGTTTGCCGCAGGATCTTCCAATCCTTTGAGGCATTTAATCATACGGAAGAGCTAAATGAGCCTGTTCCAGGAGAGATTCTCGCCCATTCTCCCAGGCAGCTCACCAGGAACGGCTTCTGGGGACAGGTATCAGCCCTGTCACTCCCCAACCCCCCACCCCACCCACAATGAACTGAGGCTTCAGGCTATCGCTGGTTGCATATTTACAAAAGGCTCGGCTCTGAGGACCCCTGACGACCACCGTGGGGGAAAACACAGGCCGAGCCCCTCAGTCTCCTCCCAGACTGAGAAAAAAAAAAAAAAAAAAAAAAAAAAGCAAGGGCATAAACTCTTCGAAGAGCATTCAAATAAACGTCTTTGAGACGGCAAAGGAAATGCTTAACCGAGCGCTCACCTCAAAGGATGATCGGCCACCAGCCACGACAGGGCCGTCCCTCCGACCTGACGACCTGACGGGGACTCTGAAGTCCAGCGGGTGGGCTGGTGTGTCAGCCCCTCCTCTCCGTCCTCTGTGCTGATCGTCGAACGGGGTTAGCAATCCGACTCACGCCACTCAGTCAAAAAGCAACGGCCTCCCCAAAATTCGTCCGTCCAACCCACAGCATGGGAGAAAATATTCGCTCATCACAGAGCTGCTAAGGAATGGCTACTCAGGATACAAAGAACCTCCACGACTCAAAGACAAAACGACCCGATTTAAAAACTGGCAAAGGACTCGAATAGGTGTTTCTCTGGAGCAAACACATAAACAGCCAAGAGGCAGACAAAAAGATGCTCCAAAGCACAGAGCTCCATGTGGGCTCTGCGAGCTTCCGTATGTTGCCCACATGGAATTAAATTACAAACCAACGACAGAAAAACATTCGGGAAATACCCGAATATTTAAAAAGAAACCATGCACTTATCTGAATAACTCCTGCATCAAAGAAGAAATCACACAACAAACTAGAAAGTATTTTAAATGAAGGCAAAAAAAAAAAAAAAAAAAAGCCAAATACCAAACTTACGGGATGCAGCGTTTTAAACCAAAGTTTAACGGGCAATTTACATCTTCAGATTAAAGAAAGATCTCTAATTAATAACCTAAGTTTCTACCTTAAGAAACTGGTGGGAAAGGGGGACAATTTAAGCCCAAAATAAACAAAAAGAATGAATAAGTAGAATCAATTAAATTTAAAACATAGAGACAATGAGAGGGAAAAAAAAAAAATCAATGAAACCAACAGCTTATTCTTTGAGAAAAATCAATAAATTTATATTTCTCTA